CTTGTTAATTATTCACTTATCAACCCTGACTGTTTTTATATGAGCATGTGTGTGCACATTTGTCATCTTATTCATCACATATCTTTAACTTATTTTTGTATGACTATAAACATTGATTAACGCTTGTCTAAATAGAGTTGGCTTACCCGCCATCTCCACTGCGCGTCATTTCGCTTCGTTCTATTCCATTCGCTTCATATACAATATATATATTCAAAAGTCCATTCTCGTTATTCGACTTATTTAATTCCGTTATTGACTAACACGATTTAAATCGATGACCATATACGGGGATAGGCGACATATATATTTTAATAACAATCATTCATACAATCAAATCGGAGTCAGATACCGATCCACCAAACCTATCTTATTTTAGTTGTTTTTATTTAAAGTAATTTACAACGTTTTTACACTTTCCACAGGGCTTAATTCTGAGTTTCAGAAATCCCGATGCATGATAAGTATGAACTTATATTTTTCGAAATTTTTACATGCTGATCATGACAAATTATTTAGTAACAATTCTTCGATAGTTCATATTTCTAAAATGTGGAACATACAGAAAAATTGTCTCAATAAATATTTCATTCAGACCCTAGGTTCAGTTGACTTTGGTTTTGACTATTTTGCTGTTTTATCCACTTACAGTAGTGACATATATTATGCTGATTCGGTAACTATGATTGCCAAGATCTTTATTCCATACAAGGTCGTTCAACCACTCAAATAATTAGACACAAGGTATAACAAATGCACTATCAATAAAAAATCAAAACATGCATATAGCGAAGACATACGTGTCATTTACCCTGGTAACATTTTCAACCCCATTAACTGAAGTTTGTGAAAATTCAATGGAATAACGACAGCCAATGTTTAAAAAATATTTCACATAGTTGAATTCATGGAAAATTATAACTAAACAACTGTTCAGTAAAATATAAGTGTATATCAGGATGAGAAAACCGAACTTAGTTCCAAAGAAAACAGGTTGTAAAAGGGTCCCACATAATCACATTCCTTGTGACGCGTTTTAAAAATTTCATACAATCTCACGACAAATGATGAACTCGATACACTCTAGGACTTAAAATCTGCTGGAAGAAATATTGGTTTCCTAAAGCACCTCTTTCTGTAAAGCAACTCGCTTGTCAGAATTCAAAAAAACTATGAATATTACCGGCAATGACATGTGCGTTTTAAATACTCCTGGAACAATCTCACAAAGGCCATAGAGATGTAAAAGATCGGTACCTGGCTGGACCAATCTTTTCCAAACAACCAAACAAATTTCGTCAAACAGTATATTTTCCGCATGCGACATGTGTATTCTAACTGTACGGTTTTCGTAATCCCAGCAATGGAAATGACAATTTTGCAGCTCTGCGCACCAATCACTTTTTCCAGGCTTCAGAACCAATGTAACTACAGAAATATCAATATTCCTTTGGAATTCAAAACTAACGGTCCAAAGTCTCTTCTATTAGGTCAGACTACGTTCTTCTGTATATCATTCGAAGCGCTTTTGAGTGGCTCGCTTTAAAATGTATTAAAACACAAACTCTTTGTTCAGTTTACGCGCATCTCATTTAAGAAAGAAAACATATATAAAAGTAGAAAATACTTCAAACGGCATAGTCTGTGCCATTCAGTCAAAGGTTCCGCTAGAACAAACTAACGTGCTAAACAACAAAACGTATAAGCAAAGATGTATAGTGGCTGGCAGTGGAATCCAGAACGCGCTTATCGCCCCATTCGGGATTCGTCAACCGGATATACCTAAATCTCAAAGTCGATGTTCACTGTGAGACTCAAATCCAGTATCTTAGGTTTTTAACTCTATCGCGTTATCCCTTTAGCTACTGAGTCCTGATAGCCATGTAGAGCACCAACGTAGATGGTCTGTGTCGAAATGATTGGAGACCTACTCGAATTAGACGGGAATGGTGTGACGAACCAACTAACGTCGAAGTCACACCTCGTGGTCAGCACCTTACGTGGACTACCCCATTGACGTATCAAGGTACCATAGATGCTTTGAAGGCTGTACAACACAGAGGACGTTATTACAGAAATATATTAGTTAAGATAGATACAAGCGAAAGAATGACCACTGCCGCATGAGCCAGTCCATGGCATATGATTAACTAATGCGCGTTGGTTGTACATGACCTTGGCAGGGAGCGATGATCTGTTCGACATCCAGTGATCCAACTGCCGGGTGATTTGGCTAGGGCCCAGTGACATTTCACTGGCTCTACAGCCACTTCCTTGTGCAATGAAGTGAAGATAAAATTCACTTAGTGTTGTTTACTTGCAGTGAGTGTGTTCGATAACTGAGAATCAATAAAAATATTTTCACTAAGATGAGATCAGATATCTGTCCGCAAGAATTCCAGCAACATTTCCAATGAAACAGTCGAAGGTTAATTGTTATAAACGGACCACGCTGTAACCCTATCAACAGTCCGGCAAAATGCAACAGTGAAATTAGGCAACAAGAAAAGTATGCCTTTAACCAAGGCCAAATAATCAAATCCCAGACGAAGACTTAAAAGCGAAGTGCAGTTAAAAGAGACCTGAATGAATGTTAAAATATAGGACAAGGATAGAAACAAATAAATGACAATACCGTCCAATAAAATGCTGTGGATGGATTATCAGCGTGCCCTTTACATCACAATCATCGTTTGAAACTACCATCGATTAATACCTCTGATGATGCACAACAAGAATCCCTGTAGAGTATCTATTATCCGGATTAGTTTATTGTAAATTACATCTGAGCAATCACGATTTTAGTGACCCGAATATGTTTTATTCAACGGTAATGGGAGAAGTAGGCCCGATTCTGACAACTTTGTCTGCATAACATTTCCACATTTCTTTAAAAACAAATCTTATTCTAGTCATGGAAGTTGAAATATATCACTCTGAACATCGAATGGGGTAGGAACAGCATTCTTGTAATATACATGGGTGTGACTCTGCATCCTATAATCTCCAAAGTTAGAAGACCTTTAATCAAGAGTAATCAAAATGGCTACCTCTTATCTATAAATTTTCAGCACCATAGCTTCAGGAGGTATTACTTCTGCATCATGAATTGACCAACAGTGGTGGGCAACTTAACCAACAACCGATTTTGACCAGTCTAATCATGCTCGTCTTATAAAGTCATTGATAACCTTTCAACCACCATCATCGGCTGATTGGATTAATTAATATTCTTAGTGTTGGGTCACGTCGGATTAAGCGTTTCGATCTTCAGGTGATCTACTCGAGTTAGATTAGAATGGCGTGAATAGCCAGCTAACGTCGAAGTCACACCTCACGATTGTGATAATGTGGGTTACCCTTTCGTCGTATCCACGTGCTATGGCTAACTTGATGACCGCACAATACAAATGACGTTGGTACTGAAATACTTAGTACACGTAGTTGTGACCACTGCTGCAATTCCACGGCATGCCATTATTTTTGCACACTGGTTGTCCTTGACTTTGACGAGGATCGATGTGCTGTTTGATATTTAGTGACAAGAATGCCGGATGATTTGATTAAGGTTCATTGACATTTCACCGACCTTACAAGCCATTCATTTCCTCATGATATGTAATACCTTTATGTAGTTTCACAGGCTTTGTACAAGGAAAAAACTGCTTCGACTAATTTACCCTCTGAAATATCATTCGCCTGTGTGGAGATTTGAACAGTTAACACCTGGAATAATGATAATCTGGAACATCACGAGGATGTGACTGACCTTTGAAGTTGGGTGAACAATAGACTAACCTTCAACTGTGTAAAGCGCTTAGTCTACATATCGCACGTTGCAAACTACACCTACCTTAAATAATCCGCTACTAGGAACGTTTACAGCCAAAACGGGACCTATTTTCTGCATTCCGTAGAGCAAAAGCGTATGCCCTTAAATACCTCACACTAGAAACTTAGAAGTGCAATTTCTCTCCATTCTAAAAAGACTTCTCACCTCATTTCAAAGTTTTATTCGTACTCAACAATGGTTTGGAGACATAGTGCCCCCTTCTTCATTCCATAAAGATAAAAGTCTTGTTAAGCAGTGTTAGGATAGAGATTAAATTAAACCACCGAAACCAACTGCGAGGTCGATTCATGGTCTAAAAGAAGCACTAGATCCTTATCTCTTAAAATTAAGGCGACAAAGTGATGTCTTTGTGGAGTCACACAACAGCTCAAATAACCCAAAGCACCCTGTTCAAGGGAGTTCAGCACAAGTTGAGTAGACATGCCTCCTACTACTAGCACCTTTGTACTAGGGGACGCGGCACTGGATCTTCGGTTGCCACAGAGCACAATCACCTTGCCCTGAAATGCCATGGTACTTCCGAGGGTAGTGAGAGTTATCTCTCCACCTCGAAATGCTCACATGGCCACGCGCATACAGTCACAACCCGGAAAGTCTTACTCATTGCCTTTTTTCTCGACGAGGGTGTTGGTCAGGAATTTGAGAGAATGAAAAGCGAATGCCCAGCTCTTCGACCGGGTTGGTGAATCCACTTAAGGAAGTTGGAAAACCCTGATCCCAAACTGGTGGTGCAAATGTGCTCCAGGATCCTAGGGGAGCAATTATTGGTCGCCGGCTTCCATGGGGCTGCAACCCCTGACGTTACTGTCTTGTGGATCGGACCTTTAGGCCGAAGGCTCCGGATGTGACCCTCTAAGAAAACCACTGGCCTCGGTCCGAGTACCTGTGCAGTATCACACACAAATGAAGTAACTTATGTGGCGCATATGTATTCGGTGCCACTTTGTACCAATATTTGTGTTCAAATAAATAAATCTACATATCAAAGTAACTAAATCAACTGACTTGCGTTATATTTTTCACTCTCCCCATTTCAATTATGCTATATTAATACAAGTACTGCTAGCACCCTTAAAGGAAAATATAGTTCGTTAACCAGCACTAAAGAAACTAATGATTTTGAGTGTGCGCTACTGCGAGCACATCATTAAAAATACGCACAATTTACTTATTAGAAAACAAAACAGCTAGTCCTAGGATTAACATCACTCAACATTTTACCGCACAAATTCAATTCACAGTCACTTCAAACATATTTATTGATAGGAAGCAAGGTATCGTCGGTTATTATTCAAAAGAAGCCAAGGTAGTTTTTAACATTAGTTCTGTTGGAATTAAGATAAAGCTTTAAATAAAATCAACGATATAATGAGCTCATGTTAGCATACCAGTTGTTATGAACAAAAAGAATCAGCAATTAGATAGTATCAATGAGACTGGCCATCATACAGTGAGAATATTAGCGTGTTTTTACAAAATGAGTTGTTTCAAAATGTAAGTTACATGATTTCTGAAGACTACAAATGTGTATGAAAGTGTTAAACAAATAGTTTATTCCTTACATCCTTGTATATATAAACGTATGTATAAGGCCAACTTTGAAAAGAGCTAGTATAAGTAACAAAATACAGCTGTAAATATTGAAAATGAATCCAAGTAATAACAACCAATGAAATTTCAAATGAACTACCATACATGGAAAGATATACAAATGAAGGAAAAAACCACTTAAGGGAATAGGCTTTTATATATATATATATATATATGATTACATTAGTAAATAACAAGGTTTTACACCAGGTTTTGATGAAATGAGAAAACATTTATCAAAAGTTAATTAGTATTAACTATTTGTCAACATGTTCCTGAGCATTGGAAACATGTTATATAAATATACGATAGTAAACATTTACAATCCTAATTGTGTATTGTATGTATTGAATGTTATATAACTTTTATTTTTCTTAGATGAAACAATAGAATTATATACTTTGATGATATGAATAGTCGAGTTATTTTTTGAAAGGGAATTTTCTGAAGCTGTGCAGATTTCTGTTGTTGTTGTTGTTGTGATTATTACTATTACAATTATTAAGGAAGATAATTTGTCACATTTGAATTAGAAGAGATTTGAGTAGAACAATTATTCTTTCCCCTCAATTCTGATGTTAATTCAATTTATACAAAACAAATGTATATTATTATATATGTATAAACTGGTCTATATACATATATATAGCGATATTGTTTACTGAATATAATATACACACAATTACTGGATAAATTGAAGTGATATTTCAAGTGAACCATATGATAAAAAAGCATAGAATAGAATAGAATAGAAAAGAAAGTGAATAAATTTCAACTATAGAATCTTTGGATTAAAGATAAACACATACATTCATATATTTGACAGCAGTTAAATCAACGAATAGATAAGAATTTAGGGAAAGCAATTTAGATGATAAATATCACATTACATATTTAACTTTCACTATATATATATATATATATATATATATATATATATATATATATATATATATATATATAAAAACTATCTATTGACAGAAGAATCATGAGCCTGACGTATAGTACTGCTAGTACCAGGTGCCAAACTACCTGGAACAGTAGAACCTCGATTATATTTATCCACAACCCGTTGCAGTCTAGCATTCTCTGCCTTAAGATCTTCCAATTTTGATTGAACCTCTCTTAGCTAAAATTTTTTAAAAAAAGTACAAAAATGTGCAAAAAAGCAATTGTACAGTCTATAAGGTCAGAAAAGTATTAACACAATAACAGACACAGTATTTGTCTATTATTTATGTAAGACACTTACTTCATCAGTAGAGTTAATCTAAAGAATAATATTATTACAGAGTCTTAAGCGGTGTGATAATTTAATGTAAAACAATAATGCTATTCAATAATTTAAATACTGGTTAATAGTTAATACAATAGGTATATGATGATGATGAAGAATATGCAATTTTTGTGAATTCGTGATTGATTGTAATGAGTGTTAGATAATACTGAAAAAAAAGTAATTCGTAATGAAAACACTAAAAGATAGTGCTATTTTCAAAGAAATCATGAAAAACAAACACATACAGTACTGTAATCAATTATTCATCTAGATAATTGTCTACTTTGAAAGAAAAATTTCTGGAATAGATAGATTGCGGTTAGTAGTGAAGACTAGGATGCAGGTTTCGCCTTCTTTGGGACTCTTCACTTGGATGTACCTGTATCGCATCACTGTTGATGTTCATGCTGAGGTCCGAACCCAATACTTATCATTTTTAAGTATCAACGAGTAATTCACTAAGCTACCCATTTCAGGTAGCCACAAATTTGTAAAATGAGTATAGCGTTTGAACTATCCTGATTTTGATATTCAGGACTGAACTTTGGTCGGTCTTAATTTGAACTCATGCTATCTAGCAATCAATTCAAAAATGTTTGTTCTGTTTGAGCCTTTAAAAAAAACGCACACATACTTTTCGGAAACTCTACCATAAAATATACAAACTTTCAAACTGTTACCTGTTAAACATTTTCATAAACTTTTCAACTTAAATCATTGTTTATATAAAATAAATGGAATGTGGCTAGCAGTTGAATCTAGAACATGTGTTTGGTCCCGTTTGGAACATATCAAACTAATGTATCTGCAGTCGAAACAATTACAGATTAAACTAAATCGCTATTGTTTACTTTGTTTTTATCAGTTTCAGATAGACACAGATTTTATCAAATTTTTAAATTGCGCTAATTATCAGTAATCTTTGTATCCATGACAGATTCATCATTAAAAAAATATCAACTAAATCAAATGTCAAGAAAATAAGTAAAAAAACCTTCAACATGGGCTAATAATAATGGAAATTTAGCTGGACTGAAATAAACTAAGCTAAGAAAACCTCACACACAAAAAAACTTACTTCACGTTGACATTTTCTTCGATCTTGTTTTAAAATTTCTTCTTGTTCTTCACAAGCATCAGCTATGGCTTTATATCGTTTAGTTTGACCTTCCAAACGCACAATCTATAAAATGAGATTATCCATTCCATTAGATGGTTGTTATATAAAATTCATTATGACAATTTAAGAAAAAATTCTATGAGTGTAACCACAAGAACAGTCTAGTTAATGAAAATTATCAAAGAGAATGATTACGAGGTGGATTAGTCAGTCAATCAAATGCAACGTAGAACCTGGCATATCCCCACATAGGTTCAAGTTTGTACAAGGAGGCACCGAAATATATGTGCGCCACACTTCATCATTCGAATTGTGTGAGGGCTGGAATACTAACCAGGCGCCCAAAGCGATGCATATGGTTTTCTTTGGGGACTACTCTCAGAGTTTTTGACTCAAAAATCTAATCCACAAAGCAGTGGAGTAACTTTAAGAGAGACAGTCTCATGACAGCCGGTGATCAGCAATAGGTCATACACCATTTTCTCCCAGGATCCATGTGCACCATTAGTTCGGAATCAGGGTTTTCTAACTTCCCTAGGTGGATCTTCTATAACCAATAACCCTAAACAAACCCCCCGCCACGAGAAGGCAGTCCTGTATACGCGTAGCCATATGAGGGGATTCAAAGAGAGAGAGCGGGGATTCCTCACTGTCAACCGTATCAGGGCATTTCGGGGCTTCAAGTTCTTACATGCTATCACTAAAGTAAGGGAAAAATGTAAAGGTTAGTTTCAGAGATGTAGTTACAGGATTGACAGCTCCGGGAAAATATTAGGCATTCAAGATACAACTCGAGGGAATTAGCAAAATAATTAAACAAAAATTTACAATGAATTCAAAAACTTAGAATCTAAGGAAAAACAAAGAGTAGATGGATCCGAGTTGATCTGAACCATTTTAAGCCATATTATACAAATTCTCTAAAAAGATATCCTAACTAATGGTAATATAACACAGAATCGGTCACAATGGAGTAATTCTCTTAAAGTTCTTAGAAAACGTTTTTGGATTCTGTAAATTTATATTTTTTTTAAAATATCTTCTATGCCTGATTATTTTTACAACCGGTAGTACTGTTATTACTACTTATACTACTCTAACAGCTCTCTGTTCTGATGTAGTAACAGCTTGAACTGATACGCATATGTACCATGCCCTATGTTGCATGACTCACTGGACGAGGACAATAGAATATATGATGGTTTAGTAGAAGTATTCGCAATAATAGTACTATCCGACTTCAGCTTATTCATTGAAAAAATTACGAGCTTGAATGCTGTCATTCCTAATACAGTATTATACTTTATGTCTACCGATTTTTAATATTCTTCAATTTAGTAATTATATTCCATTTATATTCTGTTTTCGTTCTAGCCTATTATGAACATTTTAGACAACTGAAAACCATCTAGACCATTTTTGTTAATGATGCAAAAGTTCCTTATTTTACGGAAAATTTATTATTACTTGTATTATTAATTAATCAATATACATGCGGCGTATGCTACTTATATTGACAGATATGAGTTGTATGTAGCCGCAATCAGAGGTGGAATGCTTGGTAGAAGAATATTCAATTAAAAGTAACAGAAGAAAAATAGAAGAGCGATCTAAATAACAACAGAATTAAAGGAATAATCAAGTAAGTAAAAGACAACGCAAAGAAGATATGCATATGATGTATTTATTGTATGATTTTCATATTTTGATTAACAACAGTGTGATTATTCATTAAACAATAAAAATGGTTATCCCCACTTAAGTTCTCGTCCACTACATTCATAGATAACATTGTTGAAAAGATTAGTTCCTTTACTGATTTGTCTTTATTTGTTTTTCAATGACACAAATAGTTTATTCCACTAACTCATAAACACTGAATACATATTAACTTGGTTAACTTGGTTATCGCCCTACGGAAAAAAAACATTTCACATACTTCATGATGATGTTAAGCGTTAATATAGAAAGCATGAAAAGTTTACACTAATAATGCTTAATCCAGTGGTTTTTATTGTTTATCTATTGTAATTCTCAAAGCCATAAACAGGTATTATTGATGTTGAATTACAAAACAATGCAAAATTATCAGTATAGGGTTGTGGAGATCGTTGAGTTTAAATTGAGGTCATGAATCGAGTCCTGTGTTAAGAACCGTGGGTGAGCACTGTTGAGGAGTCCCACACTATGACGAAACATCTGTCCATTGCTTCCAGTTTTTCAAGGGTGGTCTAACATTAGCCGATCCATGTTCTCGATATACAATTACTTTAGATTTCAATCAATAAAAAAACATAACGTTAAGAATTACTCGTGGACTGATTTGTATAGTTAGATACAATTAACAAATCCAGTCATTCACCTTGTATAGTATTACATAACTTCAAGTGGTCGACAATAATAAAAATACAATATATATGATGGAAAATCATGTAAAACTATGTAAAAGAATACAATAGCCAAATATAAATATATTAACACTAAGTACTTTTAATCAATAATATCGCATTAATTTTCCTCAAACCTGCTGTTCGATAATACTTTGATTCCCATTTGTTAATTACACTTCTTTCAATATCAGTTATTAAGAAGACATTGTTTCGAGTAAAACAAATTACTACCAGTAATATTGATGTAAATGCTAACGAATATCCACAGATGATTTGTATCGTTGACGACCGAAAACAAAACAAGTTGTTTGTTAGTCACTATGACTAGGTAATATTTAATTCAAATGCAAACATAGACAAACACATCTACGCTTGAAGGTATAGAAATATTATAAAAAGCGAAGGAAAGATTTCTAGCATAGAATATTTACATTATAAATGACTAGATCTGTAACTAATTTGCATATATATATATATATATATATATATATATATATATATATCAATGCACATCATCCTAGTCTTTTAAATCCATAATACTTTTTACTAAATTGGTTGTAGGTACTGTTGTAATTAAAAACAGTTCAAAATGGAAACAAAACAATACATTATTAGTATTATTATTACTATTATTGGAGTGCAACCGCATGGCAAATTAATGTATTGATAAACAGATTGAATGTACACGTTTCACAATAAAGTCAAAACAACATATTGAAAAGATGTGTTTACCATGTATACATATTTACTTAATCAATATCTATTCTAATGAACTGTAGGTAAAAATGTTATGTTCAAAAAACAAGTTGGTTGTGAACAACTGAAGTGTATGTATATGGCTACGGACCAACACAACACATACAAACACACATATAAGGTAGGAAACACATGACCGGTGAAACAATATTTCACTCGTGAAAGTCATGGTGCATTTTTGCTTTCAATAGTTGTTTAAGCAGATATTCCGATGGATGTAAAGCCCACATCATAGACACAAAGTAACAACTAGTAAATATTGGACAGATTAATTGGAAACACAGGAGTTGGAAGATATTTGTTGTATATTTTTACTGGCTGAAATCCAAATACAAAAATATGGTGTCATAACTAAGCGGGAGATAATATGCGTAGGAAGGCGTAACTATATTTGATGGAGTATGTGTGAAAATTATGATGTTAAACAATATGACTAAAAATGTTTCAGTGACACAGATGTGCTCATGTTAGGTAGTGAGATTCGATAATCATTTCATATTTTCCAATGCCCATGTTTTATTCTTTTATTCTGAGGTCATACGTTTCATAATCGAGATAATTTTTAATAATACAAACATTAACACTACTTCAATTTATTTAGCTATGAATCTTGTTAGTATCCTTAAGCGTTGACCTGATGGCATAAACTGTGACGATGTGCATGCGCTTGTAGCAAGTTGTACACTGTTTATGATTGATCAACGCGATGTTTCTGCTACAAACTTATCATGCATCAATTTCAACGTTAACATCATTCTCTACAAAAATGGTTGTATGCACTGAAAGAGACTAGACACTCTCTACATAAGAGGTTAAGTAATAATAAAGAGTAGTAATAAATGTTAAACAAGAAAATAGCAACAATATACACAATAAAACACAATAACACTGTAAATACTAGTCATAGATACTAGGGGCTTAAGTATCAATGGGAAAAAGACATCAACACAAATGCATACTAACATATATTTATATAATGATTAACACATTAACACCGATGGATGTCAGCTTAGTGGTCTAAAGTTAAGCGTTCGTGAGCGAGACCTAAGGTCATCGGTTCTATTCTCGCGTGTGAGGTCGTGGTTGCGCACAGCTGACCAGTCCCATACTGGAACAAAACAGCCGTCCAGTTTTTTCAGGCTTTCAGTGGTGATCTAATATTGACTGGTTCATGGTTTCAATGAGAACGCGAAGCCCAACAGAAAACATATAAATTTTTGGTGTCCGAGTTACACACTACTATATATATTGAAAATAGTGGTCAGGACAGTGGAATAGCCATATATTCGCATTTGCTACGAAGACCTAAAATTACAAATCGCAGTTCCGTCGTGTAAGGGAGTTTGTGAAAACTCCCATCCAAATCATATTTCCCCACTAACCTTTCGTGATATCTGGGAAATTGGTCTCGCTATTCAGTTGTCATCTATCGAATCTCTTTATGTCTACTACGCGAAAATGTAATACTGACTTCGTAGCCGCTTTCTAGATTTCCCGTATAATTCCTTCACTTGGACCGCGTGTAGTAGAAAAAAGGCACGAAGTAAGAATGGAAGTTTTGTTTCAAAGATCACTTATGTACAGAAAACGAGAATATCTATAGGATTAAGGGTGGCCTTGACCTTCTAGGGGCTTTCGGAGACATACAAAACTTAATAACAAAGTAATTATCAAATCAAGTTGCAACACAATCCTTAGTTTTTCTAGACGTTTCTGAGATCTTTTTGTACTCAATGATGATTGGATGAAATGCTTTTAGCCTTTTCGCAGCCTTTAGAGACAACAACAGAGAATTTTTGAAGATCCGTACACTTATGATCGAATAGTTGGAAATACAGTTTCAGATAAAACTTTAAAGAGTGTGACAATTAATGATACTAACTGCCATTTGAGACCGAAATAGACAGAAAATGAATCTAAACTTAAACAATCTTCTGCTTAAGACCCAGAGTATGATAGAGATCGCTTACAATTTGAAACATTAAATTGATTATTAACTCATTCAAGAAAAAAACAATTTAAAGCTACAAAATGAAAACCAAAACAGTTGTGAATCTTTTATCAGTCAACATAAACAAATTGTTCTATTTAATTAAAAATTTAAAGATGGACGTAATAAAAGTCTGCGAATCATGAAACTCACATCGCTTTCAAGAGCTGATATCTTTTGAGATGATTCATGAAACTTCAGTTTATATTCTTGAGCTTGATTACGACTTTCTATTGAGAAATAAGTTTTTTCCAGAAAAAAACAAGATAAAAAAAAAGAAAGGACGGTAATTAGAGAGAAAATAATAAAATAATCATCATATGGATCAAATTTACTAAAAGGTGTAAATGAAGGGTACTTTTTTCAATGAATTCTTAGCAGGTCCCACTGTTATAGATTCAAATTCATATTTAAAAGGGGTAACGCCAAGATTAAAGAGAAATACTCCATTTAGAATTACAACTTCTGAAATTTAAGATTGTTAGTGCGAAAATAAAATTGAAATTGCTAAGATTAGCATGAATCTCCCTATAGATAAATTAAAATTATGTGATATGTAATCAGAGTAAATGTAGATAAAAATTTTAATGTTGAAGTGACTAATGTGCGATGTTAACTGTACTTTAAACGATGTATTTGCACTTGGCGTTATCCCCTATGGAACATTAATTTGGCAGAAGGCGTTTATTGAAGTGTCAAAATGTATAAGAAAACAGGTGGAATTACAGTTTTTGGGACAGATTGTAACATCATTATGGTCCAGCCTAATTGCAAGCAGAGAATTTATACAATTATCCGATCACAGAATGTCACGTCGATACTCTGGAAAATTCTATCGGGATATGACTGAACGGAATTTCTTCGTCTCCTTTAGAGTAGCTGGAGGCTTCGTTGCGTCTTACGGGAGCCGTTCCAACAACTTACACTATCACTACTCTGGTATTTATATTTGATAATTTGATTATGTGGTGTTTTGATATAAAGCAGTAAATATATATGTCCCAGGTTCTACATCATTTACGATTTATTGATCTATATATAAAACATAAATATTTATTCAATTTCATTGTTTAGTGAAAAATTTGTTTCCCACATGATTAACTCCACCGTCACACTGAATTCCTATTAAAGTTGAAGATATAGAACTGCTGAAGGCAGTCAGCAAGGTGTGTGGTGAATTTTTCAAGGTCATAATTAATACGGTTGAGGATAGACGTCTAAAGTCATGCAAACTACTGGTAAATGTTATTTTATCAGATACTAACCATCCCCTTCACCCTTATCCTACTCCTTGTATATCTTATGGTAGAACGAGACATAATTACATTAAACCCCATGCACGCAAGCAAAAGTATAAAATTTCTACAATACCTGACCTAGCAAATATACTCTGTGACGAACAGGTTGTTAGAGTTAACCTAGTCAATAACCTGCATTCTTAACATATCTCTATAATTTGAAAAGTTGTACAGTTTCTCAGATTTTTTTAAACCTTTTTTCCCTTTTTGTCTTTGTTTCTGTTTTTTGTGTAAGAAACTTGTTGAAATAACCTGTGCTGAGAATTCTATATTGTACCAAAATATAATATTGAATAAAGCCATTAATAATAATAATAAATTAGGGGGAAAATAAGAGAGATGTAACTACTCTACTAAGAATTATTCATACATATTTTTACTGTGTAATCACTAAATACTTGAATTAAAGTAATTTTTATATTGTTGTTATTCTTCAGCTTTTATTTCATTCATTAAACGTTACTATATGTTTCACCATTCTTAAATTGCTGTTGATTAGCCATATATATATTGCTACGTTTTTTCAGTACACATGACTTACTTATGTGAACATTGTGATTTTTTATTTGTGATGCGGAGTTGTGATCATTTAATTACTATGTATAGTTCTGTAAGCTTTAGAGTCAGAATAACAATGAAAGATAACATGATAATATGTTATTTTAATTGCAATCGTTGTCTACTGATTGGTCACTGAGAATAGAAGCTAGGTGGACCAATAAGAAATAGAACTCCACGACCACTGTTATTGCGTTATCGGATGTAAGTGAATGTGCCATTAGAGGACTCGCTATAATGATGTGACTAGATCAAAAGGATAATACGTGTGTTTGAATTTATAACACAGAATTTCACCCAGTGATTTAAATGTACTGAGCACATAACCGTATAGTAATATGTCCTACACTTTCAATACTGTGCGTTATTGGGTCTTATTTATAGGATTTAAAAATTTTAAGCTATAACAAAATGTATGTATGAATGTTTTCTTTCTCTCTAAAAATTTTCCATAACAGGTAGTCAATTTGTAGTCAAATTGAAGGGATTGTCATCAATACGTACAGACATAATTTACCTATACTGTTGTATCAATAAACAAAGAAAAATACAATATTTCTACTTTAATAAGATTGAGTTATTTTACTTGGATTATTAAGTCAACTACCTCAATCGTATTGTGGTGTATGCTATTTATGTTGACAGATATAAGTAGTAGTTAGCCGCTATCGGAAGTGGAATATCTGGTAGATTTTATTGAAGGGAACAGGAAGGAAATAGGAGAACAAACGAAATAACAACGGAATTAAGGAATAATGGAGTAGGTAAAGGACAACGCAAAGAAGATATGCAAATGATGTATTTAATACATGATTCCCATATTTTACGAAAGTACTGTGTTATTTTGCATTAAATAATAAATTACTTTTTCCCACCTGAGTTCTCATTCATTACAGTATTAATAAAGATTAGAAAAACATGTGATGATTGGTAAAAAACTATAAGCTTATTAGACGAATCAGTAATAAAACACTGAATATTAATAATGATTATATTTTAAATGGCAAATTTGCCATTAAGGCTTTCTCTAGTTTCTTTTTTTCAAACTCAATAGTTATTTTTATTTAATTTAACCAAATCTACTTTGATAATGAGAACTAGAAAATGTTAAAACTGATATAGATGAATATAAATCATTACTCTGATATACATAAAGAAAATATTGATTTGCAATGGATACAGAAGAGAGAGAAAGAGGACAAGTAAGCACAAATGTACATGCCCACACACACGCGCACGCAACATAGCAACTTCAATTGCAAATAAACCCTTCAACAGAGTCATTCATATAAAAGAAAGTGCAAATATGCATATCAATACTTACAAAAATACAAACATACACATGCAACCATACATACACATAGATATTAATGTATCTACTTATTGTTGTAAATATGATTCAGTTTCTCAACTGAATTACACAAAATTGATATTGCAAGTCATAGTGACCATAATTATTCTATATTCAGTCACGAGGTTACGAGGGAATTATGATTCAAGTTATTTCATTGTAATTTTATAGATATTCCATTAAAGTACTAAATATTAAATGGAGGGCTATTGAAAAACTCATATTGGAAAAACAATAATAGTAAAAATAAAAATAAGAGCAAAAATAATAATGACCAAGATTAAAACAGAAGAAAGTACTAGGCAAAGATAGATAGTGGTTAGCAATGGAATCCAGGACGTGTGTTTCGTCCTATTTGGGACTTGTGGATTCAGGAAGTATCGCGGCAATACGCACAGGATGCATATATGCCAACAAGAAACTGATCAATTGCAGTCCCAAACATCAATGGAAAAATCCAAGTACGCAAAACCAAGTAAATTCAGAAGAAAGTACTATTTAAACGAAAATTAACGAATTCGTTTTCTACACTTATCTATCTATCCATTTATCAATGGGCCTCAACATAATACAAAGGAAAAGTCAAGGACGGAGAACACCAACTCAATCACGTTTGATGACGAAGAACTGGAGGATGTGGAGTCTTTCGCGTACCTGAACAGCACCATCGATGGACAAGGAAAATCTGATGCACATGTGCAAACACTGATTAGCAAAGCAAGAACAGTATTTCTACAGTCGAAGAACATATGGAACTCAAAACAACCATCAACCAATATCAAAGTCACAATCTTCAATACGAACGTGAAGACACTTGGAGAAGTAATACATCCATCATCAGAAAAGTACAAGTATTTATAAATAGTTGTCTATTCAAGATACTCAGCATCCATTGGTCGGATATTATCGGCAACAGCAACCTACTGTAGGAGAGAACAAATCAGCTTCCAACTGAAGAGGAAATTAGGAAAAGACGTTGGAGGTAGATAGGACATACATTGAGGAAATCACCAAACAGAACCACAAAGAAAGTCCTAACTTGGAATCCCGAAGAGAAAAGGAAAAGAAGAAGACCATGGAACACATTTCGTCGGGAAATCGAAGCAGATATGAAGACAATGAATAGCAACTCCATACAACTTGAAAGGAGTGCCCAGGACAGAGTTTGATGGAGAGTGTTGGTGAGTGGCTTATGATCCTCCACGAGGTGTAACAGGCGTAAGTAATCGATCCATTTATCCATTTACTCATCTATCTAAATTAGGTCAATAATGAAGAAATGAATTGAAGCGGGAACAAATACCAGAGAACATTTTATTTTTGTATGAAAAACTCTAGAAAGTATCGATAGCAGCGATGATGGTGATACACAAACAATGGGATTTCTTTCTTTAGATAAATAGAATGCACTGATTACGAACATATATATATAAACACAAATTAGCGTATTTTATCAATGTGCATACACATATACCGGGGCATATAAAACAGTACTTTACTCAAAATAGAAAATCAATTATTTGCGTACAAACATACACACAAACACAAGAATACAATGAATTTCCATCATTGTTTGCCTGAACATAACTATTGCGGTATAATAAAAGTCATGACATTCGTAGTTTCGTCACAGTGAGATCCCATCATCAGTCATATAGTTCGAAAACAAAAAAACAATGTCAAACGAAATTAGATAAACAAATGGGTAAAATAACAGATTAGGAAACAAGAATAGAGAAATACGATTCAATAGGTTTACATTTTTGGAGAAACCACTTCAGCAAAATTTCAAGTTACGATATTAATAACCAGAAGTTGTGTTATACATTGTTCAACTAAACATACTTATTGTTCCTCTGTATAATGAATTTGTTGCTGTATTAACGCATTGATCTAACACATTCCACTTATTAATATCTGGATAGAATTCATTAACCTACAATGCATGATTGGTGTGCTTTCGTAAATCGACAAACAAATCGATATGTATGAAAGAATTTATTCGACTTTTTGAAGAAAAGAATCACTAATCTGATCTATCAAGGTAAATTTGTTGTACACTTCCTAATTTAACATGGATAAGACTGTTGGACCTGATTATTAAAAAAAAATCATTTGACATGATTTAAAATCTGTAGTATTCTTACCGAGGTTAAATAAACCAATTTTTTGTGTATCGCCTATCTTTATTAACTTGTTATTAATTTCTTACTGCTGCTGACACCATTATACTCATAGGATTAGAAATCTACTAGTTGATGTTTTTTTCTCTTTGAAGAAATGATTCTTGTTTATTGACTTAGTTTCTAGAAATGGATAACCATTTTCATGAATTCATGTCAGAACGCCGAATGAAAAGGGATAAAATCGCGTGAATATTCAGTTCAGAAAATCGTTCACTGTAGAGATTAGTTCCGTTTAACGTTAAGTATTGATCACCATATCAAGTAGTGCAAAATTGAGTATATTGTTATTGATTGTTAGAAATTTGGAAGCAATCGGGATGAAGGGTCAAACTAAGGTATCATGCTAGTCAGAACTTATAACTACAATTCTGAGGGAAACGTTCTATACTTGTTGACTTACATATTCCTATTTGAAGACGCTGAAAAAATGCAGAATGTCTGAAGCAACAACAGTACTAGTGTTTGAGATGGGTTCCTTTCCATCTAAATATAAAATTTTGCTTCAGGACTGGTTCGTATCAACCTCAGAACTAGTAATAGGTAGTGAAGAGTTGATTGTGCTGACCATGTCACATATCAAAGAAGTCTCATCATCTCTGGTGGGTTAGTTGGCTTTGCCAAATTGCGTCAATCGCGTAGTAGATGAGATATCCATCTGCTAACTAAAGGACGGCTATATTGAGCACCAGTTCGCCCCTTTCTACTTTATGGTTATGTAAACGTCGCCTCTAAAAGTAAAGAGCGTTTGTAGTTTACTAGAATTCCATCATACAAGTACTCCTTGTACATTAACGGACCATCAAGTCAACAATTTCGAGGTTAACAAGTAGGGTACCATGTAGCGAATCGTGATCGACTGAGATGGTTAGGACATGTAAACCACAATGATAATGTACCTGACTGTACCATTGAGCGACTCATATTAGAACCGTACACAGAGTATCAAATGTTCCTTCAACATTGCAAAGATTTTTTATAAGCACCAACTAGAACAAAACTTAAATTTATGACTTCTGGACGTCTATCTACAACCACCTAACTTCCATATATGTACATATAGTGGAGAGGTGACCTAGTGGTTTAAAACTTCCACCATTAGCTATCAAGTCGCAGGTTCGAACACTGGTCAACTGCTTCAGTTTGAGTAACTGACCAGCACTACTATCCCTCGTAGTTAGAATGTGATTCAAAGTCAAGTACACGAACCTGTACACGGTAAATGGGTATTCAATGAAATTATAGTATTCGTTAACATATGCATACTTATTCAGTCAGTCAGTCAGCTACAACGTAGGACCAGGCACATATGTGCATCGGTCCAGGTTGCCATACCGCATCAGCACAACAAGATGAACACAGGATTCATAGCAGTGGTTAGGTCAAAGGTGGTAATATATAAGACAAAGATTGCATATAAAGATATAGTACAAGAAGAAAGAATTGGTTCGTAGAAAGAAAGATATGAAGTGTTTTTAAACTCTTAGTTTAAGGGAAGACAGAGAGTGCATACACCGACGCCATTGTGATCGATTCTGAGCCATGTCACCCAGAGTCTCCAACCATTGGTTACCATAGTCACGCGGACCCCAACCAAGTAGTCTGCATCTACCAACATGACTCAGACTAGAAGTTAGTGACTTCAAGCACTGATGCCACGTTTTGGTTTGGCCGCCCCTAACTTTCTTCCAACCATCTCCAATACCGGATAGCATTGCACGTCGTGGTAATCGGTGTTCAGGCATACGTAACACGTGGCCCAACCATCTCAGTCGATGAAGATTCATAACCTCATCAACTGATTTACTTATTCAGTGCATAAAGCAATGTCTCTGATATAGAGTAATTAAACTTTCATATAAAAGTCATTTATATTAGACTGTATTACACACCTTTATATTATAGGACGTTACATACAATTTAAGCATCGACAAGAAGCAATTCAAACTTCGAAGATGTAACATAATATGCATAGTATATTAGAATATAATTGAATATCCTATTGAAAAACCTGATCTAAAATTCCATCAATCGACTTAAATCAATTTAAGATTTCCTAGAAAATATTACATTTAAATTATTTATTAGAATCGGGATCCAAATTAATGTTTATATATCCAATTTCGTAATATAGATCAATTAAGCATGTAAGAAAATACAGTTCTAAACCAAATGATATTTAGAATAAATTATCAGTGAAAACACATGATTCAGTAGAATTGAATTCAGTGTTTTTCTAATGAATGACGCAGAATATAAGTTAAATAGATAGTTGAAAATTTACTAAGATCAAGAAACTACTAAATATATTTACTAGGAATTGGAAAAGAACTTACAAAATTTATGGATGTACCTGAGAGACCTCATCAGATACATCATCATTGAGATAAACAGTCAGTCAGGCATCAACGTAGAAACTGACACATGTGTATGTTGGTCCAAAGTGCTTTATTATACTAACATAAAATGAAGTTAACAAGACGAATACCAAAGGATACGAAATAATTGTAGTGGCAACAATGGTAATGGAGGAAAAAATGTGCGAAGACGGAACGAAAAGAAACAACGATATTACCCAGATATCCAACTCACAGGAGATAGAATGGTACTTCAACCTAAGATTAAATATCTTAAAGCCAAGTGTTCCAACCAATTAGTGGTTCTCTTAATCACTTCGATTCGGGTAACCAAGCTAGATAAGATTCTTAAACCGGACTATAAAAACCTGTATTTAGCAAACAAGTTGCAGTGAATAGACAAAAAATATTTGAAATCAATTAACATTGATTCTTACCCTCGTTAAATATTGCCTACCCAATGAAAAAACTAACTACCACTCAGGTTATAATATTGAAAGGTTCTCTGACCGATCAACTCGAAACACTTATTACTAGTGTTATGTTATTTCAAAGTGCATCAACCGATTGATAGGCTTCGATAAAAGCTTTAAAAAAAAACTTGAGAAAACCATTGATTGAATAAGATGTATTGTGATCAATACCCTTACACATGGATAAGAAAATAGAGAACAATATTTAACAGATTCAATACAAAATCTAGTAAATTTAATCAGCTTACGTTGTAGTTCATGTTTAATATCTTCTGCATTTACTATATTTGTACGATTCTTTGAATCATAACGTGTAGTTGGAGCCTCGAAGCGTTTACGTTCTTCTCTTAACTGAGATTCTAATTCTTCAACTCGTGCATCTAATTCGGATCGCATACTAAACAACTGTTGAATTTGCTTATCTGCAAAAAAATGATTAAAAGAAAGAAAAAGTTAGTAATATCTAATGTTAAACTTATACAAAAAAAAAACATTATTTTTCGATCAAGGCGTTTTGTGAAGATTGGTTTAATTTATTGATTCTTTACGGATTGACCTTAGCATACTTACTTATTTATTTAAGCCTGTTACTCCTCATAAAGGAGCATAGACCGCTCACCAGCATTCAGTCAGTGACTGACTGACTGACTGACCAGCATTCTCCATCCAACCCTGTCACAAGCAATCCTTTCCAGCTCCTTAAAGTTTCTATTCATCCTTTTCATATCTGCTTCTATTTCCCGATGTAATGTGTTCTTTGGCCTTCCTCTTTTTCACTTCCCTTCAGGATTCCAAGTCAGGGTTTGCCTCATGATGCAGTTTGATGATTTGCGTTATGTATGTCCTATCCATTTCCATCGTCTTTTGTTAATTTCTTCTTCAGCTGGAAGTTGGTTTGTTCTCTCCAACAAAAGGCTGTTGCTGATGGTATCCGGCCAACGGATGTTGAGTATCTTGCGTAGACAGCTATTTATAAATACTTGTACCTTCTTGATGGTGGTTGTTGTAGTTCTACATGTTTCAGCTCCATACGGTAGAACTGCCTTGACGTTCGTATTAAAGATCCTCACTTTGATATTGGTTGAAAGTTGTTTTGAGTTCCATATGTTCTTCAATTGTAGGAATGCGACCCTTGCTTTGCCAATCCTCGCCTTTACGTTTGCATCTGAACCTCCTTGTTGCTTCCCAGGTATGTGAAGGATTCTACATCTTCCAGAGTTTCGCCATCAAGAGTGATTGGACTGCTGTTTTCCGTTTTGAATTGGAGGACCTTGGTTTATTCCTTGTGTATGTTGAGGCCTACTGATGCAGAAACTGCTGCTAGACATTAGCATAGGGATTAGTGAACACAAGGGAACACTGAATACATTTTTTATGTCAGCAGCGCCCACTAATGGCCTGGGTCAGTAATCGATAGCATTGAACGATCATCGTGTCTTACCACCTCTTACTACAATGGGTGATGTTAACTTGTGTAGAAATAGATTGGAAGAGATGTAGGAGTAACTAAATCAAGACGTGGTATCAGTCCACAAAGTCACTGACTATTGAGTTGACCCATGTTGGTAGATCCACGATAACGCCGGTTGAGGTCTGTGCGCTAACTTCAATCAGTGATTGGAAACGTTCGGCGACATGATACAGAATTGATTACAATAGAGTATTTATATCCACTCTTTATACTACTCTAGATCTTGAGCTCTAATATTTCGTCATACATAACTTTCCAAAAATCTTTTTGATTCATATTCTCAATGCTTAACCCTTATTATTATTATAACCACAATTATTACTATAACAATTCCGTCACTGCTCATCTTATTAATTTTATTTCATTGTGCTAATGTAGTATGAAAACTTTGGTCAACACCCATATATGTACCAGGATCTACTTTGAGCATGGCTGACTAACCGTACTATTTCAGTTTCAAAACGAATTAATTAACATTAAAGTTGAATATCATCATTAATTACCTGTTTTTTTTAAGAATCATATTATCTATGAGTCATCTTTCTACTACCACTACTCTTACTACTCTGATATTCTGAATTAGTAATTTCATCTTATTGTGATAATATGGTGTGGCAACTTGAACCGATATAAATACGTGCCAGGTTTTTGGTGATTATGACTATCGAGAACTTGTTGACGTCGGAAATCCCAAATTCCCATATGGATCCTAACTGAGTGGCTTAGAAGTTGGGCGCTAGCTGTGAGATATGAATACACTATGGTTAAATAAACTTTTTGGCAGGTTCACAGACGTGGACTGTTGAAGAGTGCCATACCACGACGAAAGCTATCAAGATAATCCATGACCTTCGATGATATCCCTAAATGATTTCAACTGACGAGGACAACCACTGAGGTGTTTTATTGTAATCAAGATAAAACGGTATGCAAAAACCACTCAAACAGAAGAAGAATAACTACAAAAGTTAAGTGGTACGTTTTAAAGTTTTATGATGATGAGCAATAAATTTTTTTTCGAAATGTTATGTATTAAATAATTATGTTTCACTATAATCTCTGTTCAATAAGCTAACAATAAATATTTTAGTCAGTCCATTATATACAATGTAGGGCTTAACATATACATGGGCTATTGATGTTAAATTACATGAATATAGCTGCGGTGTATGCTGCTTATGTAAACAGACATTTGCAAATGGAGTATTTAATGTATGGTTATTATATTTTACCAAGAGATTCTGTAATTTTGTATTAGAAGAGAATTGGTTGTCCCACCTATGTTCTCGTCGAGGTTTGATTAAGGTTAAAGCGTTTGATTCTCAGCTACTAAGTGGGACATTCGAGACTGGCTCCGTTTACGTCGGTCTGGGCAGCTGAGTTTTATCACTAAACCCCCCGCACACATATACATATAATGTATGGTTCAAACCCGAATAAACGAATGTGCACTTGGTAAATGAGTTACTTTACGGCATGATGGGAAGTTAACATGATGGCAATGTCTATTGCTTGTGAAAAAAGAGTATGATTCACAAAGAAGGAATAACTTTGTAGAATAGAAAGCATAAAATAATATAGATACTCAAGATATAGGGGAAGATATGTAGTGAATACATCTACACTAATACGATTGATTTTGAATTATTTCATCTAACACCATCTTTAAACATTGATTACGATTACTGCACACATCCCAATAAAGTATAAAAATCTATGAGCAACGTAAAATCAACATATTTTTAATGCTGACTTATGTATAAGGAATATAGGTATCTATAGGAGTAAACAGAAAGCACCTTTTAAAAAAATAAAGTTAAAATTCCATTCTGACAATCAGACATAAGTTGTTTATCGTTGTACTCATAAGTGCTGCTGTAATAAGTAACTTTCAAATGGAACGAAGCGAATAAACGAACTGAAATATATTTTGATTGTTTTCGTGCAGTTTGGAAACCGGTTCGAAAAAAATGGTGCACACATACTCCAGGTTCTAGATGTTGGCATGAACTTGATGCGGTTGCTGGGTACAGAGACCGCACTTTCTGATGTTTTAAATAGAGTTGAGGATTAGACTTACAGATTCAAAGGCTAGAGGAGTAATAATCCAAAGAAAATCACTTGCTTCAGTTTGGAAACTCGGGTAAGCATTACAACTTTCATATCATTAATGACAATCATAATGGTGTTGTAACTTGAGTACCTCACGTTGTGTTAATTAGGTTACTAATAATAATGGCATTATGTTTATTAGTATTATGAAAGATTTATGGAGATTTCCCAATTCGCACCTTATATACCAGATTAACTTGTATTAGACAACAATTTAGGACTAGAGAGAACTGGATAGTTGTTTCGCTCCAGTATGAGACTCCTCAGCGGTGTACACCGATAACTTAATCAAGCACTGTAACTAGGACCTTCAGACACGATGGAAAGTATGTTATCTGTAGATGACTAACTTAATTAACATCCAATGGCTCACTTCCCACTTCAGTAGTCTCGCAACATTGTCATCGCAATTATCATCGACAATGCCTAGTCTTAATGTCGACATATGTGAACTTCATCATCCATGGGTTCTGATTATTAGAACCTTGAGAATTCTTTGAGATACTACTCACTAGCGAAGACAGGATTACAATCATTAGGATAAGAGGAAATATGAAAAATTAGATACTAACTCAGTGGTCTGCAAGGCGAATCATTCACTGTAAGATTTAAAGGTCATTAGTCTGATCACTGATTGGATTGTAGGTATGTACTGTCTACGAGAGAAGTCTCATACGGACGATAACTGTCCAGTGTTTTATGATTTTTTACTGGCTGTTTAGCTGAAATCATTAAATGATGTAAAACTATCTTCATTAAGTTGTTATTATCATTTGTCGAATAAATGTTTAGAACCGTATCTCAAAATTAAATTAAACAAATATTATTATTATCATTGTGTGATATCAAATATTTTTATAGGTGAACTTTCATTGGGTTTGTGGAATCTTTAATTGTGAACAAAGAAATAAACTTAGATTTTTTACTAATGTGCAGAGTTTTTGATAGAAATCTTGAAAAGGACAATAGTTTAAGCTACAACAACAACTGGAAACACTAATTGAGTAATTGAACACAAAACTATGACTGAAATAATTAGTCTACAAGTTAAAGCATTCATTATTTAAACATGCATTTTATACACAAGAAATTCCATATTAGAAATAACCCGCTAATGTAGAAAACATCGTTTTGCTGACAAGATATCAACAAACTGAAAACCACTATTACAGTTCACATCAAGGAATGACATTAGTCAGATAACTATTGGAAATCAAGAGGAGTTGGACGGCTATGTCGTTCAATTCTGAGATTCCTCTAAGAAGTCTATATCCACGAACCCATACAGGGATTGAACCTGGAACCTACGAGTCTAACAGTGAGCGCTAAACCTTTAGATCGCTGAGCCAGGATCCAATGTTTTACATCTTTTAACTTCAATCAATTTGCAGTATGATTTTAACTGAGTAAGGTCAACCCGTAATGTAAACTATGGAAATCCGATGATCTTGACAAACACTATAGTAATCACAACATTCTGTTAGATTTGTAAAATGTATTTTATGCTGTAAAATTGATTAAAGTATCATAGCAATGATACCAAAGTAGAATTAGAAAGATCACATTCTCTTTTTATAATTAAATTAAACCACCAAGATCATTTCCACTGAATTAAAAAGATTCGTAAAACTATTGTCCATCTAAAGTTAATTCGATGTACCGTTAATCAAGTGTATCGAAACAATAGACGAACTATTAAAGACGGTTTGCCAAAGTCATTTAAATAATAATGGACGATCAGTCAATAGTTTGATTGGTCAAAAAGGTTTCACAAGTTTAATCAAACGACTTGGACTAATAATTACAACAATAATTTTGAAACAAAAATAAACTGGTCCA